TTTAACTCATCCAAAATAACTTCTCTTTCAGCCAATAGTTGGGAAACCGCATCCAGTGCTCTAAAACTATTACCAACTCGCAAAAGACTAGGAAGATCAACACCATACAATGCCTTAAACGGGGTCATCCCTGCGGAACTCTTATAAGCAGTGTTGTACCAATACTCCGCCCAATGCAACCACTTAGGCCATGTACGGGGTTTGGGACTACAAAAACAACGTAAATAAATTTCGAGACTCCTATTCACCACTTCCGTTTTCCCGTTTGATTGTGGATGGTAGGCAATTGTGAAATGAAATTTAGTTCCAACACATTTAAATAATTCAGACCAAAAATGACTTTGAAACAACCGGTCTCTATCCGGCACGATGGTAATGGGGAACCCATGCAGTCTTACCACCTCTCTAACAAATAATTCAGCATCTTCTTGGCAGAATAGGGATGAGCCAAAGGCAGGAAGTGAGCATACTTGGTGAGCCAGTCCACTACAACAAAAATAGTATCCACACCGTGAGCTTTAGGTAAACCACCAATGAAGTCTATGGATACATCTGTCCATATATGAGACGGTGTTGGTAATGGTTGGAGTGAACCAGCCGGGGATAAATTCTGAATTTTATTTTGTTGACAAATGGCACAATCCACCACATATTGTTGTACCGTTTTATGCATTCCTTCCCAAAAAACAACCCCAACCATCTGCTTGAAAGTTCTAGAGAAACCAGAATGCCCACCAATACATGAATCATGGAATTCTGACAAAACAGAGGAGATGAATCTCGAAGATTTGGATAAGACTAACCGATTTTTGTAAAAAAGACGTCCTCCCTGCAAGTGGAAACTCGGGTGTGAGGCTGGGTCCTCTAGTAGATTCTAAATTATGCCTCTATGTCTCGGATCAGCTTGCACTTCTCTGTCAATCTCCTCCAACTGAGATAACTGCACCCTGGAGAGAATGAAGAACTCTTCATTTCGAGACAATGCATTAGCGACAACGTTTCCTCTACCAGGTTGATAAAGAATCTCGAAATCATAGCCAATAGTTTAGAAACCCACTTTTGCTGGTCCACACCTAAAACCCTCTGTTCCAATAAAAATTTGAGGCTCTTTTGATCTGTTTTAACTATAAAATGTCAACCCAACAAGTACGGTCTCCGTTTCTGGACAGCAAATACAACAGCCAATAGTACCTTTTCGTAAACAGATTTCCCCATAGCCCGTTGCGAAAACCCCCTACTAATATAAGCCAGGGGCCTGCCTTCTTGCATTAATACTGCTCCTATGCCCCCACCGAAAGCATCAATTACCACAACGAATGTCTTGGAGAAATCAGGTAAGGCCAAAACAGGAACAACACTCATTAATCTTTTCAATTGATCAAAAGCAATCTTTGCATCATCTCCCCATTTGAAGGCATTCGTTTTTAATAAGTCAGTTAATGGTCTTGCTATCTTGCCATAATCCTTGACAAATTTTCTATAATAGCTTGTTAATCCAAGGAAACCCCTAGCTTCTTAACGTTCCTTGAATTGGCCACTCTTCCATGGCCTTGATCTTTATAGGATCAGCCTTGACTCCTTCTTCAGTAAACTATATGCCCCAAATACTCCACTTGCATCTGTCCAAAAACACATTTTTTTTTATTTGCAAACAATTTATGGGTTCTCGCAGAATTTCGAATATTTTCCTCAGGTGACCTACATGCTCAGCAGCCCCTTTACTATAGACCAATATATCATCGAAGAAAACTAAAGCGAATTTCCTCAAATGTGGTTTCAAAACATCATTCATAAGGGCTTGAAATGTAGAGGGGGCATTAGTAAGACCAAATGGCATTACTAAATATTTGTAATGCCCCTCATGAGTCCGGAATACCGTTTTGGGAATATCCTCTTCTTTCATTCGAATTTGATTAAATCCGGATTTCAAGTTCAGCTTACTAAACACCCTCAACCCTCCTACTTCATCCAATAATTCATCTACTATTGGAAGAGGAAACTTATCAGAGACAGTGATTTTGTTCAAAGCCCTATAGTCAACACAAACCCTCCAGCTCCCATTTTTTTTTTTTTACCAATATAACTGGTCTCGAATAAGGGCTCACACTAGGCCTAATCATACCATCACTTAACAATTCCGTAACCAACTTCTCAATCTCAGATTTCTGATAAAAGGGGTACCTGTAGGGTCTGCTGTTGGGCACCTGTGCATCTAGTTTCAAGATGATGGCGTGATCCTGACTTCTCTTTGGAGGAAAGCCCTTGGCTTCAGCAAAAATGTCTTCAAATTCAGCTAGTAGGTCATCGAGCTCCTTCCACCCATCCTGGAATTTTTGAGAGGGTAGTGAATTTTCCACTTCACAAAATAACCTTGTCCCTCCTGTACCAGTACCTTTGCCATCGATTTAAGTGAAGAGATGGTTTTAGAGAGTGACGGATCACCTTTAATGGTTGCTTAATGCCCATCAGAGACATACTTGATAGTCATCTCCCTAAAATTTGCTTTTATTTCCCCCAATTCTTTGAGCCAATCCAGCCCTAACACCACATCTGCGCCACCCAAATCAAATAGGTACAGGTCTTGAACAATAGTGTTTCCCTAAATCTCAATATCAACTCCCCTACAAACCCCCTGGCAAGCTACCTTATGCCTATTCCCAATCTCAACCTAGTATGTAGGAGTCACTTCCACCGTCAGCCCCAATTGATCAATCAACCCTTGCTTGACGAAATTGCTCGATGCCCCACAGTCAATGAGCACCTCAACACTTTGGCCACCAATCTGCCCCCAAACCTTCATGGACTGGCTAGATGATATTCCCTTCAGACTCTGCAACGCTAGTTGAAGAGCCATGTCCTCATCTTTCTTCAATTGATCAGCTACAGCCGACGGGTCATGTTCATTCACAGTCGATGGGTCCACAGCATCCTCGTCATCGATGATGAGGAGATGAAGTTGTCGCGCTGCGCATTTGTGTTCGGGTCCCTACTTCTCGTCACACTTGAAGCACAAGCCTAGATGTCTCCGCTCCTGTGTCTCCTCGTCGGAGAGACGCCGGAATCTATTTTTGGAGGTCTCCGTCGCACGACTTCCGACAACACTGCCACGCGAGGACTCGTTCAGCGTCACACGCCCTTGATTCGATTTAGGGATTTCAAAAACTCCCTTAGATACATTGTGCCCTATTAGAGGCTCCCAAATAAGACGTGGTCTTTGGGCGAAAATTGGGTTTCAAAAGCCTATTATTGTTTTTTGGACCAAAGAACCCAACTCCCTCCTCAGCCCATGTGCAACATTTCTGATGTCAATTTTGTGGGCTAACTTCATCATGGAGGCCAAACGAAGCCCAGGATTCATAAGAACTTCCTCCCTAATGCTAGCATTCAACCCACTCAGCCATGCTCCTTTCAAGACTTCTTCATCAGTGTATCTCATCGTCCCTACCACTGCTTCGAATTCGCTGCCTGCAACCGAGCCAGATTGTTTCAACGTGTATAGGGGTCCATATGGATTATCAAGCATTGCTGGTTGGAACCGGCATAAAATTTCTCGCCTGAACAACTCCCAAGTAATGTTGGCGTTGCTGAGATCCAACCACTGGTACCAAGAGAGAGCTTCACCCTCCAGAACTAGCATGACCGCCGCAACCTTCTCGTCATCCCCAACCTCGTTCACTTGGAAGTACCTCTCCACCTTGCTAAACCATGCATAAGCGTTTTTCCCATAGAATGTGGGAATTTCAAGCTTCCTGCATCTCAACTCTCCGAAGCTTGCCCCTCCCTGGTTACCATTCGAACCAGAGTAATCACTCCTCCTTCTTCCTCCATAATTACGTTCACCCCTAAACTCTTCAAATCGGAGCTGCTGAATTCCAGCCCCAAGCTCCCTCAGCTGCCTAATGATCTCTGCCTGATTTGTATTGCTCGCATCCATTCGCTTAATCAATTCATCATGTCCCAATTTCGTCCGTCATAGTCTCTCTTCTATTCCCTCCATGGTTTGCGTTCGCACCATAACCCTGCTCCCATTCAGAGCTTTGATACCAATTTGATAGGAATTAAACAAATAACAACACAAATCCTGAATAATTCTTCTATATTCATGGGCACTCACACCCTTTGAGCTAGCTTTTGGGATGATGCATCCAAAGTTCTTATCACATGTTCTCTAAATTTGATTCTAAAAACTAAAAAACAATTATAATTTTTAAAACTATTTTTACAAAACAAGCCTTACCAAACAGGTTTTTTTGTTTTTTTGTTCTGAAAATTAAAAAACTGTTTTTAAGAACTGAATTCAAACAGGCCCATAGTTTCTAAAATTCTTGCAAGAAGCTATAAGGAATAATCGTCTAATAACATAATTTCAAAGTGGAACATACTTCATACAACAATGTATAGCAAACAAAAAATAAACGACACGGGTAATATGAGCTACTATAACTTAAGAAAATGAAATTAAGAGAAACTAGAGCTCTGTTTGATTTCTGTTCTGCAGAACAATTTTTTAATTTTTAAAACAATAAAACAAAAAAAGTTGTTTGGTAAGAGTGTTCCGTAAAATCAATTTTAAAAACAGCATCTGTTTTTTAGTTTTAAAAACTAAAAAAGCAAAACAACTTAGGGATGTTTTCAAAAGCTGTTTTTTGTTTTGGCATTGGCATTCTTGTAAATATGGGATTCATTAATGGCATTTTGGTAAATAAATCTATTTTTTTTATATTACTTTGCAGTGGCAATATTATAATTATGAAACTTCATTAATGGCATAATTGTAAATAATTACAACTTCTTTATAACTTTAAAATTAACTACACTCAAACAAGTTTTATTGTTCGTGTACTCTCCAAATCAGTTTTCAAAATTTATGTTCAAAACAGTTTTTAAAAACAAAAAAACAAAAACATATTCAAACACACCCTTACTCTCTTAACTAGACAAGCATTTGTTAAATATGATGAAATTCAAGTATCTTTTACAACTGTTAAATTAAAGAATACCTCGATAAGCTTGTGCAGTAACGATGGAAATGCAACCAGAAAAACGATTGAAGCTCTAAGTCGACAAATTAAGAAGGTCAATATCTCAGAGTCCGAAACCTGGCTCAGGAGAAACACGGAACTCCTTAAGTATGACTTAATAAGTGGTTTAAGAGATAGCCATTTTTTTGTAGCCTTTAGCTCCAAAACAGTTTCCTTCTTGGAACTCAAGTTTGATATTCCAAGTAACGTCCTAAATATAGTATCAGCCTCTTGTAGCATGAATATTAATATCTTGCAGAAAGCTTCACTCTTCTGAATGCCATGAGATAACACACAACCACTGACACTGGTTGCTTCAGAATCATTGTGGCATGCCACCCTATAAGCATTTATGAGACTAGTGAGGGCAGGCACACTATGCTGTTCTTTGACCAGTTTACGCAAAGAATCCACAGACGCACTTGTCAACGGTTTCCACACACGAGAACATGATTTGTCATCATTCATTGGTCGTACCCCATCTAACTTTTCTTCGTCATCTAAACTCTGAACCACATAAGAAAAAGACAGTCAATTTTCATTAACGACAGTGCTATTCAGGATGAAAATTCAATGTATATTTTAGTAAATAACTAGATAATAACATGATGAAATAATATATCTATTGAATTAGCAGCTGTCCTATTTAGTATTTTTAATTTTTGTGCATATCTCTACTCTCAACTACACACTTGTAGAGAAATATAATCCTAAAATAATTCCAGGAAACATTTTAAAATCCCAGAAATTTCCAGAAAAGGAGGATATGGAGGATAAAGTATCATTATAAATTAATCGAGCTTTCCAATCCATCTGCAAATCCTAGGGATGCAAGGCCTAAGACCCAAAAAGGAATCCATTTGACAACAAATGCAAAAGCTGGAATCTCAGGTAGCGCTGTAGTCAATCCAAATGCACCACAGCCCAGCAACTAACCAAATGATTGCGGTTACTATCATCCATGCTAAACCAAATGAATGAATTAAAAAGCTTGAAATACAAACATCTAATCCATAAAGCGAAATACATTAGTCAGCCAAGGACACTGGAATTCAACAAGGTGGACATATTTTTTTAACCTACCAATTATTACCTAAGATAAAGCAACAACAAAGGGCAAAATTATATTTAAGTTGTAGAATAAATCAACAAGGGATACTTTTGTCATATATATATAAGGAATATTGAAGGTAGAGAGAACTATTGAAAGATGTTGGTAAATTATTCACCAAAGATTCAAACATGTAAATCTCCACATTCTATCAAATAAGTCATAAATCAACTCACACTTTCTTCATCTTTGGTGTGTTTGATCCCCACATCATATCTTTCCAGAAATTTAGAAAACCCTGAATCCTGGAGATTTCAAGCAGAAAGGTAAGTTAGATATTGGTGCAATAAAACATCAAAAGGCAAAAAAATGAAACCAGATGCTTCATTTATTAGAATCAAACAAGGTGAAAAATGAAAAATAACATGGTGTTAGAATAACACTGGAACTTCCCGTGATGAGGCTAACATTATTTGTTTTAAAAGGGGGCAAGGAAAGGGCCCGAGACAGAGCTAAAGCTTACAATCTGCTTTTCTTTTCAGTTTTTCTTCCTTTACTGTTTTAATAAAAAGTACTTGTTTTAAGTACAGTGCATGTCTCAAAAAGTAAAATGGAAAATAAAAATCACTTTTTTGGTAAACTAGTCCCACCCAAAGGGTGAGAAAAACCATCTTATATCAAATACACACAGAATTCAACGAGCAATATGTGCCACTGCACAATATTAAGCACTCAAACATACAAATCCAAATTCATTGAAAATAGTAACCAAAGCTTCTCATTCCTTCATGTATCTTGTATGCTTAATTATTGCAAGTAACTAGTCAGCGTTTCTATAAGAGAATTTGAGGCCTGAATCCACTATGCTATGGAGCTGAACAAGTCTCAACTAGGCAAAAACTGCAAAAGTTTACAGGGTTCAACTTCAAACACAACATGCTTCATATTACTGTTATGCTTGACAACATCTTGTAATAGTGTTAGGCTTGTTCACTGTTATTCATCTCTTTTTCTGCCTTCAGAGTATTTCTTATCCTCCTTGTAACTGTACTCTCCTTTCTAATAAAATATCTTTCACTATAAAAACAGGACACAGGCATGGCATACATCCATACAGTATAAAAAAAAGTATTAGTCAAATAAAAGAATAGGTATACATCCATATGAAATTATGAAAACTGCTAGAATAGGAAATATAATATGTATAGATTTGTATAGATTGCATTCTTATTTGTAAAATTTATTTTCCTTATTTAGGATTTGGGTTAGGTATGGGCTTCTCACTTAAGCCCATTAGGGTCTCTATATATTGTATCTCTTTGTATCAGTTTAATACACAACATATTATTTCATATTTCCAAATTCAAGTTGGTACCAGAGCTCTTTTGTTCTGGGGACCCTCGCCCTTTTCCGGCCGTTCCAGGACATAACAGATCGCCTTCTCCTCCCATTTCCAAATCTGCTTTTGGTTCTTCGTGGGTCTCACTTTCAGTGTGTGTCTCTTCTTGATTGGCCATCAGGTTAGTTTCTATTCACTTGGTTCTGTACCTTTGTGATTTATTTTAATGGCAGAAGCTTCTCCTGTTCACTCGGAGGTCAATTCCCCTCCTCCTCCTGCCATAAGTTCCTCAAGTATCATCTCCACCAATCTTGGGCCCATTACCTCATCAAAACTGAAGGGTTCTGTTAATTACAAGAATTGGGCTACCTCTGTTCGAGTTTGGTTCTTTGGACAGGGGCATAGACAACATCTCACAGTTAAATCTATTTATATTCCTAAGGAAGAAAAATCTGATTGGGAAAGGATTGACAACCAGCTTCTGAGTATTCTTTGGCAGTCTATTGATCCAATCGTTTTGGATATTTGCTATTCTTTTCAAACATGCAATGAAGTGTGGGAGGAAGCAAAACACCTCTACACTAATGATGTTCAGCAGCTCTATTCTATCATGTCTCAACTTATGGATTTGCGCAAATCATCTGACACTCAGATGGAGACGTATGTTGGCAAAAAATCGATCTTTGATACTGTAAAGAACCTTGGGATACACCACCCCAAAAGCTAGCTCAAAGGGTGGGAGTGCCCAAGACCTTATAAACTCCACATTAGTTCCACATACAACCAATGTGGGACTATGTATCTCAACATTATCCCAAAGTTCTTTACATGGTATCAGAGCCTCGCCGCCCCCCACCCCCCACTTTCTCTTGTGGCGTTTCTTAGCACAGGTAGGCTGAGCCTGTTGCATTGTCCACTCTTCAAGCCCAATGGGCTCTTGTGTGAGGGGGCGTGTTGAGATATATAATCCCACATTGGTTGTATGTGCAACTAATTGGAGTTTATAAGGCCTTGGGCACTCCCACCCCTTGAGCTAGCTTTTGGGATGGTGACCTCAAGGTTCTTTACATGGTATCAGCGCCTCGCCGCCCCCCACTTTCTCTTGTGGCGTTTCTTAGCACAGGTAGGCTGGGCGTGTTGCATTGCCCACTCTTCAAGCCCAATGGGCTCTCGTGTGAGGGGGCGTGTTGAGATATAAAGTCCCACATTGGTTGTATGTGCAACTAATGTGGAGTTTATAAGGTCTTGGGCACTCCCACCCTTTGAGCTAGCTTTTGGGGTGGTGTATCCCAAGGTTCTTTACATGGTATCAGAGCCTTGCCGCCCCCCACTTTCTCTTGTAGCGTTTCTTAGCACAGGTAGGCTGGGCCTGTTGCATTGTCCACTCTTCAAGTCCAATGGGCTCTCGTGTGAAGGGGCGTGTTGAGATACATAGTCCCACATTGGTTGTATGTGCAACTAATGTGGAGTTTATAAGGTCTTGGGCACTCCCACCCTTTGAGCTAGCTTTTGGGGTGGTGTATCCCGAGGTTCTTTACAGATACAGGCATATTTAGATATGTTGCCCTACCCTACTGATGCTTTTGCATATAGGAAACAAGAGGAGCATCTCTTTATGGTTGCCACACTTTTTGGTCTTCCCGAAGAATATGATAATGTCCGTGATGCTATCTTGACTAGTGGGGATCCTGATTTATCACTGACTTGTCAACGTCTTCTGAACCTCAATAAGAAATCTGCTCCTGCATCATCTTCTGTTGTTGATTCCACTGCTCTTGTTTCCCGTGCTGACTTACGCGGGAACAATGGAGGTGGTCATGGTCGTGGTCGTGGTAGAGGCCAAGGAGGACGTGGTCAAGGCGGATGTGGACAGCGACCTCGTTGTCATTATTGTCAGCAATTTGGTCATTATGAGGAGCGTTGTTACACAAAGTATCCTTACATGCGACCCTCTTATGATGCTAATATAGCTCAGTCAAATACTGCTTCATCTGGTACAGTCTCTCTCTTCTGAAGACTATGCAGCACTCCAAACTCTTCTCAGGAAGGCTTATCCTTAATCTCAGCTTTCTGCTCCAGATACTGGTAATCCTGTTGCTTGTGTTTTTCATTCTACATCACTTGGTCCTTGGATATTTGACTCAGGTTCTACTGATCACCTCTGTGGTAATAAGGAACTCTTTACATCTCTTACTTATTCTGATCATTTACCCTCTTTCACTCTTGCTGATGACACTAAAGCCCCTGTTCATGGGATTGGACAAGTTTGTCCAACCTCTTCTTTGACCTTGACATCTGTCTATTACATTCCTGACATCCTTTATAATTTAATTTCTATTAGTAAATTGATCAACTCTCTTACTTGCACTGTTACCCTCTCAAACCATTCTGTTTCTGTGCAGGATCCGGGTAAGGGAAAGACGATTGGAATGAGCCGTGAGTCACGGGGTCTGTTCTACCTAGTTGTGCCTTATCCTTCAGTTGCTTGTTCTCTCACATAATCTCCACAACTAATCCACAGTCGCCTCGGTCATCCCAGTTTTTCAAAACTGCAGAAGATGGTTCCTCTTTTAACCGGTCTTCAGTTTTTAGATTGTCAGTCATGTCAGCAAGCAAAGCACATACACTCCTCCTTTGCCAATCAAGTCAACAACGAGCTGATGCTCCTTTTTCAATTATTCATTCAGATATTTGGGGTCCAAGTCGTAGTTTGTCTGTTTTAGGGTTTCAGTATTTTGTTACTTTTATTGATGATTATCACGTTGTACCTAGATTTATTTAATGAAGAATTGTTCCGAGTTACTCTCTATTTATAAAAAAATTTCTGCCGAGATTCATACTCAATTTGGTGCTTCTATTCGTATTTTACATAGTGATAATGCTAAGGAATATGTTTCTATTAATTTTTCTAATTTCTTAGCTACACAGGGTACTTTACACCAGACTACTTGTCCTCACACTCCACAACAAAATGGAATGGTCAAACGTAAAAACAGACATCTCATTGAAACTGCACGGACTCTTCTTATTCACATGCATGTTCCTCTTCACTTCTGGGCCAATGCAGTCCTTGCCTCTTGTTTTCTCATCAACCGCATACCTTCGTCTATGCTTAATAATGACATTCCCTACAACTTGTTTCTTCCAGATGCTTCTCTCTATCCTCTATCCCTACATTTCTTTGGTTGTACCTGTTTTGTTCATGATCTCACTCTTGGTAAGGATAAGTTAACATCCAAAGCCTTCAAGTGTATTTTTTTTTGTTATTCTCGTCTTCGAAAGAGTTATCATTGTTATTCTCCTGATCTTATGCGTTATATAGTTTCCACTGATGTCACTTTTCTTGATCAACAACTCTTTCATTCTATCCTATCTCAGTTGTCACAGGTTGATCATGTTCTTCTTATTCCTTTTCTTGACTTGTATTTACCAGCTGCAGGTGACTTTATCCCAGATGAGCGATCTATTGCTTTCATACTTGAGGACCGTCCTTTTCTCACCTATCAGCGTTGTAAAATTGTGCCTCCTGTAGACTCGACTCTGGCTGACTCATCGCCCTCTCTTATTCATTCTTTCCCTCCGGCTCCTACACCAGAGGCTCTTCCCATTGCCCAAAGAAAAGGTATACGTACTACTCGTAACTCTTATCATCTTTATAATTTTTTGAGCTATGACCGTCTTTCTACTCCTCATTTCACCTTTGTTTCTAGTCTTTCTTCTGTTTCTATTCCTAAGACCACAGGTGAAGCACTTCCCCATCCAGGGTGGCGCCAAGTGATGCTTAATGAGATGACTGCACTTCATTTTGTTCTTGCTCCACCAAAGAAGTCTATTGTTGGTTGTCGTTGGGTCTTTACTGTCAAAGTTGGATCTGATGGCCATGTTGACCGTCTCAAGGCGCGCTTAATTGCCAAGGGTTTTACTCAAATTTTCGGACTTGACTATAGTGGCACATTCTCTCCGGTCGCTAAGATGGCGTCTATTCGCATCTGGGAAGATGTGCCGATTTCGTAAATCTTTATATGGTCTCAAGCAGTCTCCTCGGATATGGTTCAGTTGTTTCATCTCTGTTGTTCAGGCTTTTGGCTTAACCCGCAATAAAGTTGATCATTCTATATTTTATAGGTTCACATCTCCTAATAAGTGCATCTATTTGTTCGTCTATGTCGATGACATCATTCTCACTAGGAGTGATCAAGCTGGAATTCGTCAGTTAAAACAGTATTTGTTCAGTCAATTTCAAACAAAGGACCTTCGTAAGCTTCGTTACTCCTTAGGGATTGAGGTGACACAGTCTAGACAGGGCATTTCTATCTGTCAAAGGAAGTATGCCTTAGATATGCTAGAAGAGACTAGTATGTTGGGATGTAAACCAGTTGATACACCCATGGATCCTACTATCAAATTATTCCCTAGACAGGGGGAGTCGTTATCTAATCCTGGTCGTTATCAGAGGTTGATTGGGAAGCTCAATTATCTTACTGTGACTAGGCCGGACATTTCTTTTGTTGTTAGTATAGCTAGTCAGTTTCTTGACTCCCCTTGTGATTCTCATTGGGATGCTACTGTGAGGATCCTTCAGTACATCAAAGGAGCACCAAGAAAAGGCTTGTTGTATTCAGATCAGGGAGATAAAGAAATTTGTGGTTATTCAGATGTTGATTGGGCAAGATCACCCTCAGATAGGCGCTCTACTTCAGCCTATTGTGTCCTATTGTGTCTTCTTTGGAGGAAACTTAGTTTCTTAGAAGAGCAAGAAACAACCTGTTGTTGCTTGATATAGTGCAGAAGTTGAGTATTGTGCAATGACAATTGCTACCTGTGAGCTAATCTGGTTAAAGCAATTAATTCAAGAGCTTCATCTTTGTGAACAGAAACAACCCATGACACTCAATTGTGACAATCAAGCTGTAAAGAACCAATTTAACCCAAAAATTTAAGCTATTAGGTAAGGGCCTCTTTAATGATTTATATTATACTCTAACACGCCCCCTCACAAGAGAGCTCATTGGGCTTGAAAGGTGGATGATGCATCAGGTCCAGCCTACCTATGCTAAAAAATTACACAAAGAAAATGGGGGGCGGCGAGGATCGAACCAAGGGCACAAGGCTCTGATACCATGTAAAGAATCACTTCATCCCAAAATCTTAAGATTTTGGATGAAAGTCTTTTAAGGTTTTAGGTGAAATTAAATAAGCATAAGGTAAAAAAAAAAAAATGAATCTATACAATATCCATATTTTAAGCCTAAATACACTTATAGAGTATTCTAACTTATACAAAATAATAATAAAATAATTCTAATATTTACAATACTCCCCCTTAAGCTGAGGAATGGATATTTATCATTTCCAACTTGGAAGTAAATTCTTGAAATCTATCATTAGGGACACCCTTAGTTAAGACATCAGCCAATTGACAACCAGAAGGAATATATGGAGTAGTGATCAGTTCACTGTCTAACTTCTCTTTAATGAAGTGGCGATTACAGTTGCTGGTGGGGCAGAGTGGGTTGTTTCTTCCTTTGGTACAGTAATTCGGGTGTCCCAGCTTTACGTACTTTCTGTCTATCAATAGGAGGAATGCACATGAGGAATCAGATGAATTTTCAGCCTCAGCAATTAAGTCTTCCTTCTCATTGTCATGTAAGCAATTAAGTTTTCCTTCTCATTGTCATGTAGTGTAACTACTGGAGTAAAAGATGTAAGTAATAGAAAGGGAGACTCAGACTCGAAGAAAATGGATGAAGCTTCTATACTATTCTCCCCCTGAAGTTGAGGGTGTAGAAAGTAAGACTCAGATTCATAGAAGCTAACATCCATAGAGACAAAGAATTTACGACTTGGAGGGTGGTAACATTTGTATCCTTTCTTGTTGGGAGCATAACCAAGGAAGACACACTTAAAGGCTCTAGGCTCTAATTTACTCCGATGTTGTTTATGGACATAGACGAAGGCAACACATCCAAAGATACGAGACTGGAGACTTTGCATAATTGGAACAGAAGGAAAAAAAGAGGTCATGAGATCAACAGGACTTACATGGCCAAGGACTCTCGAAGGCAGGCGCTTGATCAAATAGGCTGCAGTTAATAAGGCTTCTCCCCGGTAAGAGTTGGGTACAGATGTCTAAAACAATAATGCTCTGGTGACTTCAAGCAAATGTTGATTTTTTCTTTCAGCAACCCCATTCTGTTGAGGGGTATCCACGCATGTGAGCTCATGAATCATACCCTTATCTGAAACGAATTGTGACGGACGCTGGTTGACATACTTCGTACCATTGTCAGATCTTAATCGCTTAATACTTTTACCAAACTGTGTCTCGATCATTTGATAAAATCGAATAAACAATTATGGTACTTCTGACTTGTCTTTCATCAAGAATATCCATGTCACCCGAGTGTACCTAGCACCTGAAATATTATGTACTTTAGAAAGGCCCCAAACATCTGAATGGATAAGAGTAAAGGGCTCAATACTCTTTATTGAAATTGAAGGAAATGGCACACGGTGGTGTTTCGCAAGTTCACAAACATCACAATTGAAGGAGTCAATTGACTGATCCTTAAACAAAGAAGGAAACATTGACTTCAATAAGCTAAATGACGAGTGCCCCAAACGTTTGTGATGAAGCCAAATCTGTGAGAATGAAGTAGACGGGTGATGACTCATCAATAATTGATTCTCGGTATCCCTTGTAGCATGCTCTGGAATGAGATAGTACAACCCACCCTGCTTCTTAGCAACTCCAACCGCCCTCCCCGTAGTGATATCCTGAATAACACAATGGGTAGGAAAAAAGGTGACACCACAATTCATGTCAGTTGTAAGCTTATAAGTGGAGATAAGATTGATAGAAAGCTGAGGAACATAAAGAACGTTTTTTAAAAATAAGGTTGAATTTGAATGTTACCAGAACCCACAACTGATTTGTGGAATTCATCAGCTACAGCTATAGTACGGATACAACTAGTAGGGTGATATGAAAGAAAAGAATCAGCTAGACAGGTCATATGATCAGTTGCACCAAAATCCATAATCCATAAATTTTGAAATCAATGCAAGAAGTAAGAAGAGATGTAGGGTGTGTGATCTTACCCAACATAGTCGATCAGAACAGTAAAATAAAATAAAAATTCTTTCGTTTCTTTTTTTAAAGAACAGTACACCTAAACAGTACCGATGAACAGTACAGTGCCAGTGAATAGTATGGTTTTTTTTTCTGAGCTATTTCGGTCATATGATGAAAAAGAAACCTCCGTAGAATGATAGATTTGAGAAAACGGAGTGAAACAAGGGTCCTCATGGTTTATATTGCACGGATACTAACACGGAACACGGCATACGACACGACACGACACGACACACCGACACGTTAATTCTAAAAAATGTTAGATTTTGACACGTTAGGACACATTTTGATATTAAATAATATTTTTAATTTATGTAATATATATTATATTTAATATTCAATAATTTAACAAAAAAATAAAGCTAAACTTCTAATACCCATAAATTTTGCAAAGAAACATAAGATATCCCAAATATTTATATTAAACTCAGTAAAATGGTAATCGTAATTCAACGAATCTAATACTTAGAACTAAAAATGCAATTCAACGCAATCTTTGAAGCCTTTTTTAAGTCTCTGCAACGCATATTGGAGTGTCGGAGTATCGGAGAGTGTCGGGAAGTGTCGAACACAACACGTCAAGGTTATTGAAGTGTCGGTGCATCATAGCTCACGATCCAAAAGGTCCCCGGAAAATATTTTCCGGCAGCGGCTTTGTGGCAGCGAGAGGCAAATAGGGTTTGGTTTTTAAAGGCAGTGATTTGCGAAAGCAGAGCCCTCAGAATTGAGAGCTCTGATACCAACTAGAAAAGAAGATTTGAATATTATTGAATTATATAATATTTGTACAAGAGTTCTCTATTTAAAGAGACTAAAAAAACCTAATGGGTTAAGCCCAAATACACTTATATAGTATTCTAACTATTACAAAAATAATAAAATAATTCTAATATATACAATACAAGTTGCACTACATATATCATCTAATCCTGTATTTCATGGAAGAACCAAACATATAGAGATTGACTGTCATTTCATTCGAGAAAAGATTCAGTCAGAAGAAATCAAAATAGCTTTTGTCAACTCCAATGATCAACTCGCGGATGTCTTCACTAAAGCTCTTAGAGGTCCTCGGGTTGAATACATTTGTAACAAGCTAGGTGCTCACAATATATACGCACCAGCTTGAGGGGGAGTGTTAGAATAGAAATATAATATGTATAGATTTGTATAGATTGCATTCTTATTTGTAAATATTCTTTCCCTTATTTAGGATTTGGGTTAGGTCTGGGCTTCTCACTTAAGCTCATTAGGGTCTCTATATATTGTATCTATTTGTATCAGTTTAATACACAACATATTATTTCATATTTCCATATTCAAGTAAAACAAACATTTAACAGAAAATAAATTTTAAATAAAGAAAATAAGAATCAGTCTGATATCAACCATGAAACCATAGGATACAAGAAAACCACCTTTTGTTTCAATTTGTTCAACTTTTTTGCTTTCTTCGAAAGTTCTGCACAAATATCTCTGTTTTGCACTAATAAGGAACTACCACCATTGTTGTCTGAAAATACATTGCATCAAAATCTAATAAAACACATTCAAAGAGGGGAAATTGCATTTAGTTAAAACTGAGAATTTAGAAATGTCTTTACTCTGAATATAATTTTCATTTTCACCGTCACTTCCAGTAACATGTTCACAACTTGAGTCCTGGTCACAAACTCAAGAAATCAATACACCAAATATATAAGGCTAAACCAAATAAAACTAATAAAATTAACAAGAGCTTCGACAATAACTTATAATTCAAACCTCTGAAAGAAATCCATCACTGTCTGAATCATCTCCAAGCACCTCACTGTCATTTTCATTGAATATAGCATCAAGGGAAGTGTCTAGAATTTCTTCACCAGCTATGTTTCTGATAAAAAAATGAATCGTCAGTTATTAGTCCAAGAGCATCTAAAGATCCATCAGCAAATATTTCACCAAGAATTTAATTGTAGAAATCTTCTCTGTTAAATGTTCCTCACTAATTAAGTTTATCCCTAATGGATGATAATATTTCTCAGTGTCTCACTACTACTCTCGTAATTCTAGAAAATGCAGAGGCAACAAATGGAGCATCCATAGCACAAACATAAAAAACCACGAGATCAAAATCTAAGGTTAAAAAAATGTGAGCCTAACGTCCAAGGTAACATCTTGAAGATATGGACTTAATAAGACTTGCTGGTTCAAAAGCAGAGGCTGTGGAGAAGGCAACAGAAGCATTGAGTTTCCTTTTGAAGGAAATTTCACAATTCCCATAATTACTAAAAACAACATATAAACGGAGTGGATTATTATGTGAAACTATGTATGAGAAAAAATTTAGAGAAAACAAGAATTCCTTCATGGCTTTTAAGACAACATCAACCAGTTACATTTGTTAAGAATTTTTAGTCTTTAATACAATTTTCTATTGCCTTTAGAACAATGCTTTAGTGGACAAAGCCACCATAGTTCAAAATTCACCAAACAAAAAGAAAACGATTTTTTTAGCAACAATGACATCAAAATCAGCAGAGTAAGCGCTGTAAGAAAAATGTATTTAGGTCACCATTTTACCTTTCATTTGAAGGTTTTGTTGCACCAATCTCTTGGTTTTCTACATTATCATGACTATCTCCTGTAGCAGTCAAATTTTCCAGAACATTAAAATTTCAAATCGATAATAACCCAAGAGAATTAACAAATTAATTAGAAAGAAAACTAATAGAATGCAAGAGAGCAATTATCTGTTCTCAAAGACCCAACCGAAATTTGAGTTCTGAAATGAACTGAGTCGGTGCTTTTTAATTGTTAAACTAATTCATTATACATACTGATCAAGCACCCCATAATAACTGGCCAACTGTTTCAAAGAAATCATGATTTAATATATGCAAAGATAAGTAAGCAGTGTTGTCAAATGGTGGCTATGACAATGCCATTCGTATTAATACATGGAGAAACAAAACGATAACATTCAGACTCTACATTCAATTTCAATCATTTGTTAAATAAGAAGCATTCTTATAATTAACTTATTCAAGAGTTATCAGAGTTTGGGTTCAACTTTAGGAGAATAGACCAAAGAAATAAGAATAACTTGGGGAAAACAATACGATCTTTAAAGAAGAAAGATGATGGGCCATGGGCCTGAAAGTTAGTGAATTAGTTAGTTTGTTATGGAAACTATTCTAGAATATTCCTAAAGTATAGGATAAAAAATAGGCAGTGTGTGTAGAGTGGGTATGCATGAAATCAGTATTGGCTTATGGGGAAATTGGGGATCTCTGGGAGTTGAGATTTCTGGGTTTAATTTTTGCAATTTATCTTTGTAAAAAGCATGTCTCTATTTATGTTTTCTGCAATTTCATATTAATAAAAGTAGGTTCCATCGTAAGATAAGATACACTGCTAAGCCAGGACAAAAAAAGAAACCTACGAAAGACAGACATCAATATAGTAAAGCAACCAATTCCCTTGTCTGTTGGTTAGGAAGGATATCTAAGAGAAACCTTTGGCCAAACAACAAAGAGAGGTTATAAAAACAATCATATCCCATGTCAAATGTCAGAACTAGGAAGACTTCTTGTGGAAAAAATACTTTAATTCATGAAATAGTTGGTTCAATGAAAGACTAGGTGACAAGCAATTTAATTCATTCATGAATAAACTATCTAAGCCATTCAACAATAGTATGCTATTTCAACAAACCAAGAACAATTTCATTAATACCAATATGCGGATATATTAGAAATCTTAATCCCCTTCGCCCTGAGGCCACCAACATGTGTTATAGGCAAATTGCATTCAGAGACAATATAACCACAAAAATAAATAAATTAGAATTAAAATCCTAAGAAGGGAAATTAGCATGTAGGATTATGCTAAAGACTAAAGAGTACAAAGATAACATAAAAAGACAACATGAAAGCAAGTATTGTTGAAAAAACAGATAACTACATTTGTAATAATATAAAATCCTTACTTTTTGATGTTTTCCTTTTGAATTTAGAGTTTAACTTCCTTTTGTTCCTCAAAACTGACTGTAAATTCTTTCTTGCAAACTTTCTTGCCTTCTTGCCCAGCTTTCCCATTTGGTAGCAATATCAATACGAATCCTAGACAAAAACATAAAAGATAACTTCTAATAACAATGTATACACACATACATACAGAAACAAACAAAAGCTACCACTGATCAGAAATCAGAATTCAAATTTCAAAATGCAATGCAAACAAGTTCAACAGCACACAAAAGATAGCATCTCTGGAAAAGCAGAAGATAGAATGTCACTTCTATCTCAGTTCGAAATAAGTGTAGCTCATTCAAGACAAGCTACTATGAGAACTGAGAACCTTTGTCAAAAGTTGTGAAAAGTAAAAAGATAGTTCCAATAGCCAAAGGCACAAGAAAGATATTAGAAAGCATTTTATTTAGTTCAGTCCTATATAAAAGAAACCAAAATGGATATAATGCTAAAACTTCTCTTTGTTTGTCCCAAATTGAAATTGAAATTGAAATTGAAATTGAAATTGATGCCAAATGTGAAATGAACCAAAAGTGTTCCTTCAACCTACATATTACATCATTCTTAATTAATTTAATGAGTAATAATACTCAAATATTATTATTATTCTCCTTTATGGGGGAAAAAAAAGAAGAAATATTATATTTGTTAGTGAGAAAAGGAGGAAAGAATTACAAGATAAGAAATCATCTCAGAGAAAACCAGAAAAATGAAAAGCATAAAATTCAGACCAAGAAAGAAGAGAAGTGCATCATCCAAGCAAAACTCAGTAATCTCACCCTTTCTAAATAGCCATTAGCCGAGCACCATAAACTCACAAAGATGCTAAAAGAGTAAGAAGGCAACTTTAGGCAACATCATAAATTTTCCTTTTAAACTCAGGGGTTCCTTTCCAACCATTACCACCAAATAATAGCAAACAGTAACAAAGTACATTACCAAAGAGACTTTCCCTCATTACTTATCCCATAATCAAAAGCTATTATATGGAAAACATAGAAGGCCCTCCAAATTTTATAGACATATCCAGTGTTTGTTTCAGCAACATAACAAAGAGTCTAAAACCACAACTATTATTAAGAATCATTAATATTAAACAGTTATACCCAACTTACAGAACAAACGTCCACCTGCATATGAACGGTATTTCGAAATTTTGCTTCCATTCTATCAACTATTTTCGATTTAAATCTTAATACATTTTAACTGAGAGATTTTTTACAAAATTAAGATTGCAACTAGTAACTAAGGGAGCAGACGGAACTGTTTCACCCACAACTATTTTTCCTTATTGATAAATTTCAGCACCTTATAAAAACCGAATAAAAAAAAACTCCTAACACATTTCCCCCTTCCTTCCATTTGAATAAAAAGAAAAAAAAAATTACTCTTTTCCTCACTTTCACTTTCACACGATATGGTTTCTGTGTCCACACTCTCTCCTTTCTCTACGCTTAAAACCTTCAAATTCATAAAAGGGTGCAGAAAAAGAATATTCAATCCTCCAAACAGCAAAAAAGAAAATACAAAAACAAAAAACTATTACAACAATTAAATAGAAAAGAAAAATTTGAACTTCAATAGTAATTATGGAGGGGCTAAGAGAGAGGAAGTTACCACGGGAAACGGCGACGTATGATAGTAGTTTTGAAAGAGGGTTTGAAGATTCGCTAACTCCCCCAGCAACGGGTCCGGGTCCGGGTCGAACCAAACCAGTTGATCCAGACGCGACCACCGTCAACACCGCCGGTAGTGGCGGCTCAGAGCAGTGGGAAGCAGATTGGACTGTGCATGCAGACTGAAGCCATTAGAAATGCTGTGGAGGAACGGTGTTTGTTTTTCTTCTTATCGGGTCTCCGAGAGGCAGACGGCCGAAAGCTTATTATGAACTAGACAAACACAAAAAAGGGTTTAAGGGTTTATTTCAAGTGAAAAACTACTCTTATGTTACATGTGATAACTTTCTCTCCTACACATCCTTTCATAATTGTGCCACTTTTTTCTTTTCTTTTCTTTTCTTTTTATTTTTCAGATGGTGGAGCCCATAAATTTATCTCTATGACATGAGATAACTTATATCTTTTACCATGAGATTAATCAAACCCTTATTTCAAAAGTTCTTTTAGCAATGTTATTTTTTTCTAGGTTAAAAGATAAATAAATAGATAAATTACATCATGTTACTTTAGTTTTTCTAAAAGTAATAGGAAACTATTAGCTTATCATAAATTATACCTTATTTCATTTTTTTTAAAACTAATTATTGACTTCATATCATTAAATATTTCAAAATAAAAATATTTTAAGTATAAATTATATTTTTAGCAAATCATATTAGGGGAATGATATTATAACAACTAAGTTGTGGTATTACCATGTTACTATCAATCAATCTCATCGTTAAATTGATTATGTTGATCCAACAGTTATATTTATTTTCATATTTATATGATTATGATTCCCATATTTAAAGTGAAAGCATTAAATATGGAAAATCATAACCATACAAAGGTGGAAATAAATATGAAGTATTAAATTTGAAAAATCATGACCGTACAAAGATGGAAATAAATATAACCGTTAGATCAACATAATCGATCTAACGGTGAGATTGATTGGTAGTAACTTGGTAGTAACATAACTTGGTTGTTACAATATCCTTCCACATCATATTAATAACATTTTTATGCTAATCATATTAATAAACTAAAGATTTATGACATTTTTATTGAAGAGGTTAATTTTTCCTCAATTAAAAAAAAGTTACGAATATATATATATAGATATATATATATATATATATATATATATATATTGACAAGATTCTTTCGTTGGCCAAGTGGTCTCAAATTCAAGAGGGTGAATTGAGTTTTAAAGATATTTTCATAAAATGTCTCATTTTTTTCTTAAAAACAAATTTCTTAAGTTTATATGATTTGATATAAGTAAAGTGGAATAAATAGAAAATAACACAAGCAAATAATAAGCAAAATATAAATCTAAATATGTTCAAGTATTCTACCAATGTTCAAGTATTACAAAAAAAAAAAAAAAAGATAAGGGTTAGAGAGATTGCAAACAAGATGTATCCTGGTTCGGTCACCACCACCGTGACCTACGTTCAGATTGAAGTCGTTCGATCAACTTTCCAGTATTGGTCAAGCTTCAAGGGTGCTTGACAAACCACTACAATCTTCAAGAATTTTGGTTCTTGAAATCTTTTCACTTTCACTCACTTTCTTAGTTTATGAGCAACATTTCCACTAGGTCTCATTATCCTCAACTTAAATAAACAGCAGGAGAGTGTTTAGAAATGGATTAGTACTCTTAAAATACATATTATACAAGTTGAAGCTTATGTGTATTGATCAATATCACAAGAATGAAGCTCAAAGAAAATTTATAATCAATATAAGTAAAGAAGAGTAATGAATATGTTTGATTCAAGAAGAATAGTTAAGAATGATTGTAAAATCCATGGAACATTGATTCTTACTTGTTGGGGACGAAATAGATAGGTATATATATGTATTGGGATGAAACTAGCCGTTTATAGTCGTTGGAATGCTTTTTGTACAGTAAGTATTCGAATACTTTTCGTAAGGTATTCGAATACTTTAACTGGTATTCGAATACTTTTCATAAAGTAGTCGAATACTTTTCTGGGCACAGAAGTATTCGATTACTTGTCAATAAAGTATTTGAATACTTTCTTGACAACAACTAGAAAATGCAGTTTTTCAGTTTAAACATATTTCAACTTGCCTCCAACCACTTTTAATGCAGTCCCTTGACGTGATAGATATGTTTTGAGGTTATGGAACATGTTAAGGGTCTTTTCCAAGAGTTTTCCAAAAAAATTCAAGTGATTAGTGTCATGGATAAAGCAGGCATAAAATTAAGTATCCTTTGAGCTCATTCATGCAATATTAAGCGATTACCTTTACTTTTAGGTCTTAGTCCTAAAGATGTACTACTTGTAGGTTCTCGGACTTAGGTGCTTTCTTTGTAGATTGGTTCTTGATCTTTCTTTGACTTGATCATATGTATTGATGGTTTTGTATTCGTTATCTTGTTGAATTGCTTCCTTATACTTTTTTTTTATTGTTCTGAGTTGTATCACTCTTCCAAGCTTGTTTGTTATCATCAAAACTCTTGTATTGTTGAAATCTTCATTTTGAGTGCATTGGTTCCACACCTTTGATATCAAATCTTAACCGTTGATTTCCATCAATCTAACAGTTATAATTTGTTGAAAATTAATAATTAATTAATAAATATAACCCAATAAATTATAACCTTAGATTCACGAAATCAACAGTTAAGATTTAGTGTCAAACTTTTTAGTTTAACATTGGTGTCAAAGGATCTTGCCCCATATATATATATATATATATACATATATATATATATATATATATATATATCAAAATTAAAAAAATTAATATGAATTACAAACGTAATAAAAAGAGTATTATTTACTTCAAATTTATCTACTTAAGAAAAACAAAAAAAATATTGAATAAAAAAATACTAATAAGATTTAATATAAATATAATTAATGAAAAAATATCTTTCAAATTTTATTTTTGTTTTTAAGTAATAGTTAGTGAAAAACCAAAAAAAAAAATCTCACTAAATTAGTCATTTTGTCTAAATAATTGAATTGTATATCCATATGAATGATGATGACAGAGAAGATGTCTACTATCTCATATCGATACATCAAAAGGAGCAAAGGGGGACTACAATTCCAATACATGAACCATAGATGGCAGAAAACACTTAGAACAAAGCAACTCAATAAGGTAGTAAAGGATTTTATTTCCTCATTCATTACTTAAGGTGATAATACTAAACACTATCATTTATTATTAAATTTTAATAAATTTTTTATACTGATAATAAATTATTTTTATCACTTGAACTATTTTTTATATATATTCATTAGTCTTATTCTAGAATGTAAAACAAATAAATTATTACCATCAACAAAATATATGTACATGTCATTTGAATACTCTTGTCAACTTCTAAAATTTAAAAAACGAAAGGGGACTAATACTACCTTGGTATTTATAACACCTCACATTTATAAACCATGTATTAATATATTAAATGAGAATTAAAGGAATGGAGTAGTGAAAATCCTGGAAATTAGGCTAAAATACAAAGAAAGGGTAAAACGGTAAATAGCCAAACACACAACCCTAGGAAGGTAAAATTGAGAAGGTCTCACATGATGAAAATAACTCTGGAAATGGATTCAGAACGAACAATTGAGTGGTTAGGAAAGTTTCAAAAAATTCAGTGAATAGTGTTTTTACCGGGTAAAAATATCGCGGTACAGTTGCACCGTAAAGCGTGTCGATTGAGTTTTGAGCTCTAGGTTTGGAATACAAGTTATAAATGGTTTATAGAACTAGGAAATATGAATTCTGATGAAATTTGACGGAAATTAGTAAGTTTGGATAAGCGTACATATGGCGCGCGTAACAGCTTAAAACAGCATTTTCTCCGAACGACCGGAAAACTCCAAATTCATCTGATCAAGGGTAATTAAAGGACAATGGTTAATGTTAAAAATTATATTTTCTAAATAGGTTGTGAATTTATGGACGTTTAGTGGAATCGGAGGAAAATTCAAGTTAATTTGAAATCGTGTGAGGTGACGGTGGGGCCCACCTCACTTAAAAACCACTTAAGACACATAAGCATAACACTATTCATCATCTTCTCTCTCAATCCCCGTGTGCAAACCTGCGGCCCCTTCCCTCCCAAGACCCATTTCACTTCAATTTTCTTCCTCACTTAACTTAGTCATTTAGGCACCAAATTCATTGATCCTTGAGTTGAAATTTATTGGAAATCATCTCCTAAACCCATTGGTGGTATCCTTGAACCTTGAAAACCACTAGAAATTGAGAAAACTCTCCCCTAAGCCCGCGACCATTTTGCTTAGATGTGTGTTCATGGTGTTGATTGATGCTCCAATGTTTTAGTATGTTTTGGAGGAGCCTTGTGCCAAGCTTTTGAGTAAGTTTTTTTTACCCTTTTGATGGTTTAATTCTTGGATTGATTTCAGGAATCCTAAAGGGTTTTTTGATGATTTGTGTTATTAGAGAGCTCAAATGGAAAATGTGTATTAGATGATTATGTCTTAGAATGATGTGTTAGAGCTATAAATGCAATAAAAATTATTGGTGAAAATATGATTTTAACTTAGGAAACTATGGATGATACCATGACTTTGTGATTTGGGAATTGGTTAGGATTGTGTTGGCGAGTTGTTGTATGGTTGTATGATGTTATAATAGGATTGTATGAGATGTAGAATAGTTGAATTGGATTGAAAATCCTTTGAGGTGTACCTATATATAATTCGGCCTAAATGGAATAAATGGGGAATTGATGTTGTTAAAATTGTTTGGATGATGTGTTGTATACTAAATGGTAATTATATGGGTTGTGTGATGGTTGGAAGCTTTGAAAAGCAATAGAAAAATTATGGAGTGTATTGTGGTGTGTTGTCCCTAGAAGGAAATAATTGGGCAAAAGCATGTTAGGATGGTATAAAATGAAAAGTGGCACCTAATATGGTATTTTTGTAACCTTGGGAGGCCTAAGAAAAATGAAAAGAAAATTTAGAAAAATAAATTGTAAAAATACACTAATAAGGCTGAACCTACCTAGGTGTGGGGGAAGATTTTGACGTTTTCGTAGTTTGATAGAATTGTCATGTTCTGACGATCCGTATATGGTCGTTGTAGGTTGCCGTACGTGGATTTGAATCCCGAACCGTGAGCTCGGTGGGTTGCCCTTGGTCCCGGACCAAGTGAGATTGAGGTGAGTATTT